GAGGGTATATAACCTAGAACTGGGGTAGATAGATTTAGGTTGTTTTTCTCCTCTTTCTTTTGTGTTATTTCTTTTTTTAAAAATTTATTTTATTGTTGAAATATTACAGATGTCCCCCATATTCTCCCTTCCCCCCTTTCTCCCTTCTCCCATCCCACCCCAATTCTTCCCGTCTTATTGTCTGTCGGGATGTGTGGAGAATGGATTAGAGCAGTGATTTTCAACCTTTTTCATCTCATAGAACATATAAATCACTAAAATTCTGTGGCACACTAAAAAATGTATATTTTGCCAATTTGACAAAAAATAGATATAATTTTGATTCATTCACACTGGACAGCTATTGTTGGGTTGGCTGTTGTCATTTTTTATTTGACAACTTAAGGGAAAAGAAGTCAGTGCCCCTGACTATACAGTCAGGTATTGCACGTTTTAAAAATTCTGTACTAGTCTTTGGGATAGAGACAAAAAGGGAAGTTTTATGGGAGGAGATGATGATGCAGTTTTGTATATACTCAGTTTTGGTAAGGGTTAGATATCTAAGTGGAACATCATCTGTGTCATCATATGAATCATATCTTACACACCCAGTGCTTATTTTCATAATTTCTCCATAATACTATGTCATTGTATTTATGTTTGCTACTAACTAGAAGAGACTGCAAGTAGATATTTCAACAAAAACAATTAACTCTAATAATGAATAACTATGAGTTTTGAGATAATTGAGTCTAATTCCTTCATTAGACAAATAAATAAAAAAAGATCCAGAGTAGTATTTTATTCCTTCTTGTATAGAAGCATTATTTTAAAAAGCACAGCTTTTACATGGATCATTCAACACATTTCTTATTAAACATTTATGGTACATTCCATACTTTATTGATTTGTGGTATGAAAAATAATCATTAGTTACAATTATGGCAGTATAATATAAAATATTTCTTAAGTGCTATGTGCTGGGCATTTACCAAAAAAATGCATTTTAATGCTTTTATGCCTTATAAAAGAAGGAGTTTATGAAGAAACTGAGACTTATAATGGTTAGTAAATTGTCTCAGTGTCTATTTTCGTAACTATTATGCTTTATTCTTTTGGTCCCCGACTTAGAGCATCCAAAAGTATGATGGGGGGAGAGGGGAGTATTTCACAGCACTTAGAAAACTGTGTAGGAAAACATATTTAAGTACTAAGTTTGGGGGTTGCAGACGAGAAACTGCTATAAAATTATATAAATTATAGGCTTTATGTGAAGTTCATTCATCTTAGAATCAAGATGCTAATCTTTTGTGTTGGACAGACATCCTATAGGGATTGTTGAAATGGTAGAACTTTGACCTTCCTGTGTAACTTCCTTGTTGGGGGACACAAACCTTGAGAGCCTTCTCAGGGTCCCTTGGCATTCCACATACACTGGGATCCCATCCCTTTTGGACTTCGATGAAGCCCCTCACTGTAGAGCATGGACTCTATCGTCCTGAGCAGTAGCCTAGGGAATGGAGGTGTGGGAGAGTTAGGTCCTCTTGAAATAAACCTGGAAGACCTGAGAGATATAAATTATCTTTTTTCTCTCTCCCATGGACTACTCTAAAGTATGGTTTCTCCTTGTTACTCTTGATAGAATTTTGTAGATTCTGCTTATAGGACTATGGCTGGGCTTAAATGTATTTCATTCTATTTTTATGTATTGAAATAAATGAAAATGTTACAGTGACATGCAAAATGTGAATTTTAGAAGATAAAATATAAGGCTACAGAAATAATATGCTTTCCATAGGCTGCTTTGAGATAACATTCCCTGTTCCTTCTCGAATTTTTGCTCGTTAGCAGTAATTAGTTTGGAAAATTGGAGAAACACTGTGTGGGGATGTCCATATTTGTATATATAAACATATTTGTACATCTCATTAAACGTATTTGTACATCAATAAAGTAAATAAAAATGTTATTTCAAAAACTACCCCCATGTCTGTGTTCTGGGGGATGTAGCAGAAGTATTCTTCACAGAAAGGTGGTTTTTTAGTTTGGAAGAAAACACTTCAGGGGGCCTTCTGGTTTGCCGAAGTAAGTAAACCCCAGGGGCTGGTGTGGAAGGGAAAGGTTGGGTCAGAGAGGAATGCAAGCCTTCTTTGGTAGTGTTAATAGCTATCATCATTCTTCACAGGTTGGCAACTCTTGCAGATTAGTATAGGCTTCCTGGCTGAGCCGCCGCTGCTTGGGGTGAAGGAAAAAGGAATGCTTGGAATCTAGACACGGGGAGAGGTTGGGCAATAGGCAGACTCATTTGAACTGACGTTGGTTCCAATAAGAGAGCTGGCTGGGGGATACAAGGAGGCAGCCTGTGGAGGCCCCCGGCGCACAGGGTGTGGTCACAGTGAGCTGGTAACCAAATGTTGGCTCTGCCTTTCTTCCCCGACGTTCCCCTCTGTCCCCAAGTCTCCGGCTGTGCTTTGGGGGGATGAAGGGAGGTCTGTTTGGGAGCAGTGTGCACCTGCAGACTGACAGAATTCTGGGACAGCATATAAAATGCTGAGACCATGAGAAGTGATTAGGGAAATTTGGGGAGCAGCAGACTGGAACAAGAAAACAGACAACAGAGGAACAGGCGCTTTTTCTGAGTATTCTCAGAATTATGCAGGCCTCTGTATTTTCTCTGGCAGAGGGGTTTAAAATTACTTGTTTGTATGTTATGGGTGTGGAGTCATCACAGAAGAGAGGGGAGTCTTAGGATATAAGGCACAGGTATATGTTACTGTAAATCAAGATATATGTTTATGATTGAAACGGTGTGTGGAGTGAGAGATCATGGAAGAGTGAACTGGGTTTCTGTCTGGGAGAAGCAATGCTGCCCTCTCCGAGGGGGAAGCGGGCACACAGGAGGGCTGTGGGATGCCGATACGGCGTCTTATAAACAGCACTGCCGAGCAAGCAGAATGGGAAACGGTGCAGGGCAATAGGAAGACAATGCGAACGAAGGCAGCACTTGCTAACATCAGCTACAAGGACTTTTCTCTGTATCTGGAGGGATCTTTTAAAATAACAGATCTGATCACATCACCCATCTACTTGAAACACTTCAGTGGTTTCCCATGGCCTGTAAGATAAAGTACAAAGTTTGTAACTTGCCTGATGAGATTGCCTGAGCTGCCGCTTATATCAAACTTTTCAAACCCCCCTCTTGTCAGTCTGCTCTATGCTCTTTCCACATCAGCCACTCTGAGTGGATATGTATGTATTTATAAAACTTTAGTTCTTTTACACCTCGGCGTTTGAACAAAGGTTTTCTTCCACCAGCATCACTTACCTCGCCTCTTCAACTCATCATTTAGGTATCAGGTGAAACGCCATTTCTTTAGGATGACCTCCCTCAGCTCTCCAGGCTAGAGGAGGCCTCCTGGCCTATGTTCCTGTGTACTCTCCGCTTCCTCCTTCCTCCTGTTCACCCAGCAAATACACACTGAGCCTGGCCTTGTTATATGCATGAGAGATACAGCAGTGAAGGCAGCAAATATCCTTGCCCTTATCACACTTGGAGTTACTTTTCATTATTTGTGGGTTCTGTTAGATGCAGCCCCCTGAGGGCAGAGAACACTTCTCTCTTGTTTACCATTTATATTCCAACGCACGGGATAGAGCCTGGAACACTGCGGCTGAGCACATCTGTAACCTGAAGGTCTTCAAATACCTTGGCCGATAGTTTTCACATAGTCAGTGGCATAAAGTGATTTGTCAGACTTGGAAAGCTACAAAACTTGCTAGGAATTATGATTGATATAAAAAAATAGCTTGACCTATTAGGCAGACACATTTCAGGCTTTCAGAGCCAAATATTGATTTTAAATGTTTTAAGAGGATTTGATGTTGACGGACGTAGGATGGGATCGGGAGCAAAAGCACCTTGGCCCCAGTGGCTTGTCAGAAGCCTTGGCTGGCCTCCATAAATCCACTGCAGGAAGTGTTTTAAAAACAATCTTATGTTTGTTTGGGGGCAAGCTACAGTTGTAGAATGTTTAGAATTTTTATTTCTTTTACCTCTGTTATCTGTTGGCATGAGAGAACTAAAGTGGGAAAACTTATTTCCCCCTCCAAAACTGTATTCGTTCACAAAATAGTTTTTAACTACAAATAAATACTGGTTCTGAATGGGAAGTTTGAGAAAATAACATTAAATCTAGACAGTAAATTCCTTGAGGACAGGTCTGTACCACATTCATCTCCCAGTCCTGAGCACAGATCCTGGCAATAAACAATTACCCAGAAGTACTGTTTTTCTTTTTGTAAATGAAGAAGCCCAGTCTCTTGAGTGGGAAAGAAAAACCAGTCAAATTGATTATTTTGGTTAGCACAGAAACCAAAAATTTTGCTACAGTTTTCATAATTTATAGATTATTTTGATGTAGACATAGGAAAACTAGTCAACCCAAACCAAAATATCTTAACTGAATTGCATTGTTGTATTTATTTAGTCTACCTACTTCTATAAGAAAGTCATACATACAATAAAATAAAACATATATATCAAAGACATAGAAGAGAAACTAGACAAGAAAAAAATTACATTAAGAAAGCATTTTTGAGAAAAGTCACAGCAATTTAGCACGACGCTTAGCTTGGAGTTTCCTGTTCGCCAACGCCAAGAGGCAAACGGTGGGATACACACTTCGCATTGTCCATTAGAAGGAACATCTAAGTCCATCAGGACAGAGAAACATTTTCTTGGTCTTGGGATCTGAGATAATGTATCACATGGGCCTTTGTAAAGGAGACACTGAGGAAAAATGGGGACAAGATCCTTAATGTCAATTTTACAAATAAAGATGAAAAGACAAACGCGTGTGAGGCCCCTTCTATTTTCTGAGCAGTGGGTGAGAGATGAACACACGGCATTCAGTCACGGCGCTTAGACACTGTTCCTGAGGGTGCGATGAGTAGTTTTCTGTTTCTCTGGAATGATGTGGCATAAGACTGGGAGGGTTAAGGGCTGNCTGTTCCTGAGGGTGCGATGAGTACTTTTCTGTTTCTCTGGAATGATGTGGCATAAGACTGGGAGGGTTAAGGGCTGACTATTTTGCATCAGCCGAGGTTCTGCGTATCTCAGAGCCCCAGGGCAGGAGAGGTGCTCAGAAGCCAACGGGGGTGAGGGGTGGGGTGGCGGCCGGCTCTGCCTTGAGGCCTCAGCCAAGGGGCGAGGGAGGCCTCTGAGCCTTCCCCTCGGCTCCTGCCTCTGCTGCAACCAGCGATGCTCCTTGAGTCCAGGTTTCACATTTTGGGGTTCCTGGCTGACTTTTCCTTTCCTCTGAAAGCAAAACGCTGCTGTGAGATATGCAAATCTGCATTATGATATACTTTGACTGCTGCAGCCTTCTCTGACCGCTGTTTAAAATCACCCACCCGGCCTGACCCAGCACGCTCTACCCTCTTTCCGTTTTGTTTTTCTCCGCAGCACTGACAAAACATCTAAGTTACTATATAATTTATCTTGTGTATTGGTCAGGGTTTTAACAGGAAAGAGTATCCTCGAACTGGGTGATCTTAGGATAACGCACTCAGAGAATGGTTACCAAAGGCGCGGGCAAGTTTTAGGGAAACGGGAAGGGCTCACGTCGTGACCTGGAACAGCAACAGCGGTGGCGTGGAGGTGGCGGGGAGCCCGTAGGAAAAGGTGAGAGCGGTTACGGGGATCAGGAGAGGAACCTGGAGAGCACAGCAGCACGGGGAGGGCTGCCTCTGGGGACGATGTACCATCCCCATGAGGAATAAACGCCACGCGCGACCTCATGCTCCTCTGGGTCTCGAGTGCCTCGCATGGGCCAAATCCCACTGCAACTCGCAGCCCAGGGGGCCTGCGGCGGGTCTGCAGAGATGCGCGGATCAGGGCGGAGAGGGCTGAGCGCGGGTCAGGAGCACACAGGAGATCGCCACAGGAGGATATTTCTCTTCCAACTAGAAACATCCACGAAAGGGCATTTCTCCTTCAACTGGGAACATCCACAGAGGATATTTCTTCTCCAACTGGGCACACCCTCAGAAGGCCATTTCACCTCCAACTAGAAACATCCACAGAAAGACATTTCTCCTCCAGCTAGAACCTAAGTTCCATGGAAACTGGGATTTTTACCTGTTTCATTCTCTTCTGTATCCCCTGTGCCTGGCTCATGACTGGTGCTCAATAAATATTTTTTGAGTGAAGAAATAGCAGTTGTTTTAATGTGAGTTTAAAAACTCAACAATGGTATAGCCGTTGTAGGCTATTTATAACATATCATTATGGGAGATACTTTTTAAGATGGTTCTCTTTGTCTTCCTGACTTATATGAGTAATAAGTGCTTGATACTTAATTCATTTTATATATATAGATATTTGTATGTGTGTATGTATGTAGCCCCCAAATGATATATTTAAAATTGTTATGTTATTAACACTTTTGAAATTTTTTTAAATTAGATTTTGAGTAATTGCATTTAGAAGAACTTCTTGCAAGGCATTTTCTGCATATTAATAGAATTCAAATCATTAAGTCATCTTTATTTCATATGTGTCTCACGATGCTGAGGACAGCATTATCTCCTTAAGTCCTATACATTTCAACACAGCAATAATCATAGCATAGAACATCAAGCACAACAACATTTATACTACTAAACTGGTAAAGATTTATCACAGAGACAACTGTTTTGAACATCCTACTGCTAGGGGGAAAAAAAAAATAGGAAGGTCAGTGATTTATTTGAATGGACAGATGGGTCATAATGTATTCCTTCAAAGTGATCTAATTTGGTCTCTGACAGGCTGCAGAAATACGTGACTCAGAGTGGCATGTCCTTCACTGACACAAATGTGGGCTCCTATGGAGGGGTTTCTGTCCCTCCCCTGCCCCAGGGGCTGCACAAGGGTTGAGGTCTGCTTCTTCAGGCATTGAGATCACACAGCCTAGGAATTACAAAGACCAGGAGCAATGCCTTGACTCACCTCAGGGAGTCTCCAGGACACCAGCACCATCTGTCAGTGTCAGAGGAGCTCAACTCAACGTGGCAGGTAGGGCCGAGAAAAGGAGCAGGCCTCCCCTGCCCTGGAGGAATCTTGTGAAGTCTTGAGACTTGGGGTCCACAGATGGTGCTCCTTTTAAGGCAATTTGGTGACGTCATGATAGATCTCCATCAAAGTGAGAGTGGTAGATTGTATTAATGCTCAAAATGTTTGCTGCCCCTCCCTGGGGTACTGCTCCCTGAAGGAGGATTTTGCATCCCCTCTCTGTTGATACTGGGAATGGCCACATGACTTGCTTTGTTGACAAAGCAGGACAGAAGCTTTAAGAAGGAGCTTGTGTTTTGTCATGCTTTTTTTGTCTCTGCCACAGACTTAATGTTCCTAAGAGAAGTTGCTCCATAAGCCTGGGTCCTGGGCAACGTAGTGTAGAGCTGAGGCTAACCCACAGCGGATATAAATATAAATGCAAAATAGAGCTATTTATTATTATTGTAAGCCACTGAATCTGGGGATCATTTCTTACCTCAGCATAACTGAGTGTATCTGACTGATACAGGGAAATCACATCTCTCACTGTCACTATTCACCCGCCCTGCAACGGGAAACAGCTGTTACTGTGGGCAAAGAGCTGGCTTGTAGGGCTCATTAGCCACTAGGGTTATAAACACAATGAAGGCTCACGAAGGTAAAGCAGGGACTGTCAGGTTAATGGGGAGTTAGCAAAATGCAATGCTTTGCTTACTGAGAAACTATTTGAACTTGAAAGTGGCCTGAGCAAGGATATGCTGGTTGTTTCAGGAGCTCATACTGGTCATTCTGTGCTTCCTGGATAATGCATTGAAAGGGGGCCAACCAGGGAACTGTTACAGCAGGACTATGCCCAAGACTCAGAAGCCACTGGCATTTTTGGGCTATAAGTGCTGCCACAGTGTAACAACAGCATCTGGAACTGGCACTCCAGAAGAAAAAGCATTGGAAGCGGTAGGAAGTGGAAACATTAATAACTGTCAAGAGCAGGGCAGACAGGCTAACTTAATGGGTGAGCTCAGTCCACTCGGGGCCTGATAAGTCCTATCACTCTCCCTGTCTGCAGTCACTGCTCCTAGGAGACATATAAATCATAGCGAATGACCTAATAAAATAATAAGGTTTGTCTGAGTTTTGACAACAGAAAATAATAGAGGACCTCAAATTCAAAGGGAGAGAAATAGAAGGCATTTTAAAATTGCTTTCTCACTGGAATAGAGGAAGTCAACAGATGAACAAAAGTTACGCTCCATCTACACGTTGTCAGTTTCCTGAAAATACCCACAAATCTATGACACTTTATAGAGCTACAGGAAAGAGTTGCGTTAAGTGGGAATGTTTTTCGGCTGGACATTTTCTCTGTTAGGTACTTGAATGGTTTCTTTCTGGCATGCAATGAATTTACTGGAGATTAAACTTTCTTTCTTGTACTTTTTATTTTTTACTTTTGCATTGTTGAATGTGCAAAGAGTGGGCTTTTAAACGAGGCAGATCTGAATCTGAGTCCCACCTCTGCTTTTGAGATCCATGACTTGGCAAAGTACTTAATTTCTCTGAGTCATTTTCTTCAATAGTGTTTTGTTGTGAGGAATTAAATGAAACTGTGTGTTCGGGTATTTGGCATAGAGCCTGACACTTAAGGGCTCAATCCTCATTACTTTCTTTAATCTTTTGGAAATGTTTAAATGTGGGAGAGGATTCATGCTGCTGGTACAGGTCAGTCCTGGTATGTTGACAAACAATGCACATTTGGAAATCACTATAATTAAAAGAATAGGTGACTACTAAGTATATCATTTGCTCTGTTAGGTCAACTACATGGCCCACCCAGCACAGTGTTCTCTAAATGTCTGTATTAAATTTCCATGTGGCTGACTGCTGAATATAATGTTTCGGTGGCAGCTTTCCTTATTCCCAGGAGCTGGTAGTTTGTATCACTCGTTAACACCGACTGAATGTAGTAAGTACTTGAGTCCCTATTATGTACAAGGCAGTTTGATAATTTACCTATGGCTGTCTTTGCTCCTTGCTTTCCCATCTTCTCTCCATTTAGCAGAAGGAAAGTGTTCCGATTTCTGTTCTACCTTTGTTTTCAATTCTCTTTTCCAGACCCTCAGGGAACTTGTTTGGTCAATTATTTCTTCCCTTCTTTACTGTCAATCTCTTTTCTGCTGGCTCTTTCTCCTCTGCTGGGGCAAAAAGGAGACAAATAAACAAAACTCAAAATACTCACAGGAGCACCCTCATGCAAGTCAGGCTCCTTCCGCAGGAAGCCTCAGCCATACTCCAGCTCAGGGCCCACCAACACAAAGAGCGCGAAGGGGCAGGGGGTTGGGGCAATGATCAGGATAGTTAATCCTATCCGATGGAGCTGGACTCCTTTTCTCTCCCCATACTGAGCAGCCAGTAGCAAGCAAGGTAGTTGCCTCTAGACAAGGAGTTTTCAACCAGTGTGCCATAAAAAATTTTTAAATATGCAATACCTTACTATTTAGTCAGGGGCCCTGACCTCTTTTCCCTTAGATTGTCAAATGAAAAATGACAACAGCCAACACAAAAATAGCTGTCTGGTGTGAATGAATCAAAATTATGCCTATTTTTTGTGTGAGATAGGCAAAAAATATATTTTTGGTGTGCCGCAGAATTTTAGTAATCAGATTGTGCGTGTCATGAGATGAAAAAGGTTGAAAATCGCGTCTCTAGATTAAAGTGGTAATAACTTCTGCTTAAAGTGAATGAAATTCTTGGTGCTGGTCTAGCATGAGCTGTGGAGTTGTCTGGAACTCTACAATTAGGGCGAGGAAGAGGAGAGGGAATGAGAGCCTTCAGTATGTTCCCCTGGCATAAGCTCTACAGAGCTGAACAGGCATTCTGACACGGGAGGCACACGCCGACGCGAGGGCCAAAGAAGCGCAGAGAAGTCCTGCTTCCAGTGGACGAGCCACCACATACTCTGCCCTTTGAAAGTTAGACTCCTCTTCCAGTCAGAGGCAGCGGGGAGTTGCAGCATTTAGATGTGATTTTAAACAGACCCAGTACTGTCAATCTCTTTTTGTACAAGTGCAGAAAATGACCCAGTAATGGGAAAGAGTCCAATGCTCTCCCACTGTGCTATTTGCTTTGTCTTATTAAAATTTCTGATATCTTATTTCCTATAAACAGTTGACCCTTGACCAATGCAAGGGGTTAGGGATGCTGACTCTTTGTACAGTTGAAAATATGTATACAGCTTTTGACAATCTCAAAACTTACCTACTAATAGCCTACCATTGACTGGAAACCTTACTGATAACATAAACAATCGATTAATACATATTTTGTATGTTATATGTATTCTATACTACATTCTTACAATTAAGTAATAGAGAAAAGAAAATGTTATTTAAAAATCATAAGAGAAAATACATTTACAATACTGTATGTATTTATTGGAAAACATCCTCATGTAAGTGGCCCATGCAGTTCAAATCTATGTTGTTCAAGGGTCAAAGGTATGTCGGTCCTATAGTGACAGGTTCAACTTATTCAAGATAATACATATATCACACAAGTCATTCAAAATCATAAAATGTTTTAAAAATTCATAAAATAAATCCTGTCCTTAATTAAGATAGTTGTGAATCTTCTATTTCCTTTGTATTTCCACATACATCTCAGGATCAGCTTGTCAGTTACTACTCTTTTTAATATCACACTCTTGACCCACCGATCCACTCTGTTGAACTTGAGCTATAACACAAAAAGCAAATGCAAATATAGCAAATGCAAGCAACATGCAAATAATGCAAATATGTGAATACTATGCAAATAATGGGGAAAAAGCTAATTTCTACAAATGGAACATACAGGTAGAAATTGTCACAACTTTAATCTGGAGGTAAATGACCTTGCTACCAGCTACTCAGTTGTGGGGAGAGAAAAGAGGTCTAACTTGTCCAGCCCCTTTGAATAAGGTCCTATTAAAAATAGTAATGTGCAATAATGCAAATAATGTGAAAATACATGGACTGAGAAGAACTTCATGCTATTGATTTCGTGTTAGCTGAGATGAACTGACCTATGTCCTTCCAGGACTTGCACAACTTTTAAAAACATAATGGTTATTAGAGGGTGATGAGATTTCTGTGAAAATCATTATTAATCTAATATTTCAAACTGGGGAAATGTATGTGAACAAAATGGTTTCATTACTTTTCCCTCTAAAATTGTGAAACTACCAGCAGACCATTTGATAGACCTCTGGAGACAACCAGTTATCGATAAAGCACAGGATAAAGTCAAGGTGTCAGTGTTAGTTTCAGACAAGGTGGAATTTAAGGTTGAGAATAAAGATGTATGATTTTCTACACACTAAAAAGAACAAAACAGAGTAAGGAAAACGTTATTTCATAAGCATTTTCTCATGTCATAAAAATGTCTTCAGAACTTCCCATTAATTGGGTAGTTAATATTCTGTTGAGCGGTTGGACTGGCAAACTGAATTCCACAGCATAGTACAAGATTTCTCCACCACAACAATGCAACAGTAATTTATTATCGGGACTTTCGTTACTACTATATATCAAATTAATAGGCTCAGGAGAAAAATAACATCAATGGGTAGTGAAATGGCACTTGGTAAAATTCAACACCAAATTTCATATATTATTGGGAACTTGCGCCAGGCTCATTGTGTGTAAAAGGAAATGGGGACTATGGTAGATCCCCGAGACTATAAAGGTAAGCTTGCAAAGAACCATGACACCAGCCAGAGCTTTATCATTTACATAAAGTGGTCTACACGGGGTGGTAAGGGAAGGTAAAACATTTCAGCAGTTAGCATGTGCACTAAACTGCTCATGTGGAGACAACCTGTGATGTCCCTCCAATCATGTCATCACAGAAGCAGAGTTGCGTAGGGGACACCGTGATGTGCTGCCTAGGTTCCCCTTTGGCGAAGGACTGGTTTGTTCCAATTCCTTGGAGTTTTGGTGGAAAACAAAATATAATTTTATGCCCATCTAAACTATGCCCAGCTAAACTATTGTTCAAGATTTAATTTAAAATGTAGATATTATTCAGATCCACAAAAATAGGTTTCTGTCCATAGGCCCTCAATTAAAGAGCATTTTACAAAGATCAACAACACAATAATCTGTAGGGAAAAAGTATGATGACTAATTAATAAACACATTTGTAAATTAATTAATGCCTGTAAATGAGAAAGGGAAGGGAGCTCAGTATATAGTGAAAAAGTTATAATTTTATTATGAGAAAAGAGATACTGAAACCTTTAAATTTTTAATAACTTTATCAAATCAACTAAAGAAAAGAAACAGCAGAAAAGAAGGAAAGTAGAGCCTGGTAAATATAGAAAACACACAATATGACATAAGTAATTCTCAATGTTTCAATAATTAAAATAAGTATCAATGGATTAAACTCAGCTATTAAAATACCAATAAAGGGTTTCATAAAATCAAGCTACCTATTCATAAATATAGACATATCCATAAAATAGAACCACAAGGTAAGGTACACTAAGATCATAATCAGAACAGAACCTATTATGGCAAGGTTAAAGTCACACGAAAAAGGACCCATTAATAGGACTGAAGTGGACTTACATATAATAAAAGAACAACCCACAAAGAACATAAAAATCATGAGCAAGGACAGACTTGACAACATAGCCTCAAACTATAAAAAGCAAACAAATGACAAAGAGAAGCATAAAAATCCACAATAATAGCTGAATAATTTTTAAAAACCTTGATCAAAAAAGGATAAATAAAATAGACAAAAATAAAAATTTGTAAGAATAATATTTTGTTTACTAAATTAAGAGTTTGTCATATACACAAAACCTTTTGCCCAATATATGAAAAGGAGACATTCTTTTCAAGCATAGATAAAACATTTATAAAAATTAAATATGTATTAGGTTATAGAATGTTTCAACAAATTTCAAAGTATTATCACATAGACCATGTTTTTAAAACTATAATATAATTAAATTAGAAAGTAATAAGAAAATAATAGTTTAAAAAACCACCAACACTCCTAGATAATCCATGGTTAAAGAGGAAACCACAAAGAAAATGATAAAATATTTAAGACTGAACAAAAAATCACTGCATTTCAAAATTTGTATTATGAAGCTACAATATTTCGGAGGAAATTTATACCTTAATGTATTTACTTATAAACAACAGATATTATTTTCAAGAAATGATTTCATGATTTAATTCAAGAAGCTGTAAATATGAAACTGTAAACATATGGAAAAAATATAAGAAGTTGATAATAAGAGCAAAAATGAACAGAGAAAACAAGCTAAGAAAAATCACCACTAGTAATAATTAACACTCAAAACCTATTTTTTGAAAAGATAAATAAAAATATATATCCTTAATAAAACTGATCAAATTCAGATACAGAAACCAATATCTGGGTACAGACTAACCAACTTTTTTGTCAATAAATTTAAAAACAAATAAAATGGACATGTTCCAGAAAAAAAAGTAAATATTAAAACAAACTCAGAAGACATAGAAAACCCAAATAAATAAATGATCACTAAATAAATGGTATCAGTTTTAATAGCTCTACTTTTAAAAACTAGTATCTTTTAGGGAACAAAAGATGAGCTGCATGGAAGTTTCAAGAAACAGGTAGATAAACTTTTTCAGACAAGCGGAAAATAAGGGAAAAAATATTCAACTTATTGTATAAGACCAGCATAGCCTATACACTAAAACTAAGTAATCAACTTATTGACAGATCTCATTTATGAATACAAATGTGAAATTAAGAAATAAATTATTAGTAAACTAAATCTAGGTAGCAGTATTTGAAAATAGTAATCATGACCAATGTTGAGTTTATCCCACAAATCAAGGATAGTTTGATATTGGAAAAATCTATCCAAGTAAATTTAATGCACTGACTTATCAAAAAAATAAAAATACACAAACATCTTAGTAATCACAATTAAAATATTTGATAAAATTTAAGATTTAGTTATTATAAAAATGTCCTGTCAGATGATAAGTATAAAGAATCTTCTTAAATTCAATAAAGGGTACTTACTAAAAGTCTACTAGTAACAGCGAGACATTGCAAACAATTTAAATGTTCATCAGTTGGGGAATGCATAAACAAATGAGGTTTATTCATACAACGGGACACTGTGAAGCAATTAAATTGAATTATCCATAAAGGCAGCTCTTGAAAACATGAGTGAAAAGGAGCAGTATGTTGTTTGTGTATATGTTGTTGAGGGAGAGAGGAAGTTAAATTGAATAGGAGAGGGGAGCATCAGGCGTCACATTTATCTGTCAAAGCAGGTAGACGAGCAGTGAAAAAGTTTTCATTTTTTAGAAGCTGTCACTGGGCCACAATGGTTGGAGTGCTGTGAGTGAGGGTAAGTGTACACTAGAGGAGACAGCAGAAGAGCAGAGGCAGATCCTATAGGAGACCATAGAAAAAAGGTTGAATTTTATTCTGGGTGAAGTAGAAAGCCTTGGAGGTTTTAAGCAGGGGAGTGATAATTGATTGTTTTTAAAAGATCATCTGTTTTAGTCAGTTCAGGTTGCTATAACCAAGTACCAAAGATTGGATGGCGTAAACAACAGAAATTTATTTCTCACAGTTTTGGAGGCTGGAAAACCTAAGGTCGAAGCCCCAGCAGACTCGGTCTGGTGAGTGTCCACCACCTGGTTTGCAGATGGCCATTCCGTCACTGTGTCTTCACGGGGCAGAGAGCAGCGTAAGGAGCTCTCTGGGGTCACTTTTATAAGGGCACTAACTGCATTTATGAGAGCTCCACCCTCATGACCTAATGACCTCCCAGAGACCCTCTCTCCAGAAACCATCACTTTGGGGGTTAGGATTTCAACATATGAATTTGGGGGGAAGCACAAACATTCAGTACATAACACCATCTCTCTCCTCTATATCTCATCGACTATTGGTCAATAATATCATTATTTTTCACCATCCAGATTTATAGCACCTACAGTCTATTCTATAACTAGATATATCACTTATGCCTTAAGCTATAGGTTGATTTGAAAATTGCTATCGACCAACACCATTTATAATATTACATTTATAATATTTCATGGCAGATTGGGTAGGCCATCTGCTAAATTCAGCTGTAAATGGAGATTGGCCCTCTGTGGAGCAGGCCTACGGTTTTCTAGCATCAGTGGGATATGTGGGTACTTCTGTCTAACACTGAATTTCAGTATCGGAAAGCCCGTTTTTGCCATGTGTCCATGCTATAGTCACAGCGGTGCTATCGGTGATGAAGCAGACCAGAATCCATGCTCTTGGCAGGCGGGCAGGCGCCACGAGAGGAAGGAAGGGGAAAGGGCTAGCTTATGTTTGTTCTGTGTCATTCCACACGCACCGATCAGATGCACTCAGAGGACACAGAGACTGGCAGTGCCCCTTCAGAAAAACGTCCTCGGCAGGGAAGCGGAAGGGAGCACGGGGAGCGAGAAGTGCTTTTCCTGCATCATTCCCCTTCTTAAGCGGTAAGTGTTCCCCCACTCTCCCTGTCTCTCCAGCCTCTGGCTTGCTCCTCTACCTTGCGTCCCACCTGGGGGACCAGCCAGGCTCTCCTGCTCTTCCTGTCATTCCCAAATCACTTCATCTCATACCTGGCTGGGTCTCCACTGAACCTGTAATTTGTGATCTTGGTATTTACCCTCCTCTGCCGTGGACTTGAGGACCTGTGCGGTGCACACAAGGGAGGCTGGAGGTCAGAGCCTGCGCCGCGCACATTGTGGCCACAATAAACTCTTCTAAACACTTCATTACACTGTCTGTTCCTCACAGCAGGCTGGCAAGTTACTAGCACCCCTACTTCACAGCGGCATAAACAGAATTTTAGAAAAGTCAGATAAATTGCCCTCAATCCCACAACTCAGAGTGGAAGAGCCAGAATCCCACGCTAAGTTTTCTTACTCTGGGCCCTGTGTTCTGCCCGGAAAGGGTCATTTGCAAAATAGGTTTCTCTCTTTTTCTTTTTCAATGTTTCTTGGTTTGCCAGCCTTTCTCCCTGGCCTGCAGATGAGAGAGGAGACTGCTGGAGTAATTCTAGAGCACAGACATAGCGGAGGTGGCGTTTCTTCCTTGTTTGAGAGAATCTGCATGAAAAGACTTTAGCAACGAAGGGTGTACATGATCCTCCTTCAGCAAGTGCTCCATTTCCCCCACGCACAGACCCTGGCGATCTGCATCTGGCCCATCATCTCCTGAACTCTTACTTGTCACATTATGTCCATGATGCTTTGGGAAGAATAAATGGATAAATGGGGTTCTCCCAGCTGAAGGGTCTTAGCACTGACTTCTGTTTCATTTCATCACCCTCACCCTTATCTGGACCCATCTCCCTTCACTTCAGGCTCAGTCTTGCCCATTCCCAGAATTATCTTTTCAAACTATCAACTAGTTTGTAAAAAGAAGGAATTATAAAATATTTCAAACATACAAAAAAGTAGAGTAGTACAATAAATTCCTATATACCCATCAGCCAGAATCAATAATTAGAAGAATTATACAACACTACCATATGTATTTTTTTCTCTGCTGAAATATTTTAAAGTATACCCCAGGCTTCATATCATTTCACCCCATCTACTTCAGTATGGATTGAGATAAAGATGTTTAATGTTATCAATACTCTTCTAAGAAGTATGGACTTTATTCTCTAGGTTCCCTACTTACCAAATTATTTCACAGAAACCTCACACATTTGATATTCAAATTTCTAATTCAACTATATAGATATAAATTAAATGAATCAATAGTTTGTGTTCACCCCAATATCTGGAAGAAATAAGTATATATAATTTAAAAGATGGATCAGTGAGTCCACGGATCCACTGAGTAAGGGAGCAGCTGGGTGGAGAGGCAAGGAAACCCAGCTGGGCTGGCTGCTTCTCTAGCGGACTGCTGCAGAGCAGGAGGCTCCGACCTCCCCCTTCCCCAGCCAGGCCACCAGAACAACTGCAAAGTCCTGCTCCCTGCTGGCCTATTTTCACTCAGCTGTGCAGCGACAGGCTGCCTGCCACAATGAAGCCATTCTCTGTGACCAGCTACAGTCCCACCTGCTCAGTGGAGGTTTTCATAACCAAGGCCTCTACGTGGCTCTCTCTCTAGCACACAATTCAGCACTTACTGTTGCACACAAGGATCTTGTCTTCTCAGGTAGACTGCAAGGACACTGAGGGCAAGAGCTGTGCTTAGCCTCTACTATGTAACTTATGGTGCCCAATAATGATGGCTCAGCTGGTTCAAAACACTTATTATGGAGCAAATGAAGCTCAACTTGAGTTTTCATTTGGGCTGAAGTTAGTGTCAATTTTTCTGCTCAAAATAAAGTCATAGAGAAGTAAAAAAAAGCCTGTTGAGGCATTTCTGTTTAAGAATATAGATAAAAGACAGGTTAGGTAGATTTCTGTTCATCCACTTGTTCAACCTGGCCTATGAGTCCTCTTAAATCCTGCCCTGTCCTTACTTGACCAACCTACCAACGCTTTTTTCTATTTTTCTTCCCTTGGACAAATGACTAGGGCAACTGTCAGCTGCTGGCACGTTTTGTGGTATGGCCACATGTTTGAGAATCACAAAACCCTCCAAAAGAAATCAGCCCCTAACTGAACCTTTACCCAAATCAACAGGCTGTTTCTTGAAGCAGCACCACGGTGCCACCAAGTGGACAGTTTTTGAAAAAATTCAACTCACCATGAATTGGCAAATCATTGTGGAACTGGAGCATTTGTGGCCAGCTCATTTGCAGAACTACAGATTTGATTCTCTGCGTCCGTGTACCTTGGATGCTTGATAAATTCTAGTAAGTGTTTCACTTATGCTTCTGAACTTCAATTCTCTTTAACTTCTACTTGCGATTTTTCTTTAAGAAAATTCCCAATGAAAGCATTTATGACATACGATAATACGGGAACTTACCTTTTACTTTTCTGTATTTTGAAAGGAAGCAAGTTCCATATTTTCTCGGCTGAACTTTTTAAAAAAAACCTTTATTGATTTCAGCAGGAGAAGCGAAAGGAAGAGAGAGAGAGAAACATCAGTGATGAGAGAGCATTGACTGGCTGCCTCCTGCACGCCCCCTGCTGGGGATCGAGTCCACAACCCAGGCATGTGCCCCGATAGGGAATCAAACCGTGATCTTCTGGATCATCGGTAGGTGCTCAACTGCTGAGCCATGCAGGCTGGGCTCTGGCTGCACTTTTAAAAAGATTAATTCTATTTCCTAGAGGGGTCTGTTTGGGGGGGGGGGAGGAAGCTTGCTTATGCAATATATATGTTGCCTATGTGTAGTTTTGATGTTTGAGATTTTCTGGAGTTAATTTTATATCTTATTATTCAGAACATCAAACAAATGATGCTGGAGCAATTGCACATCCATATACAAAAAAAAATGAACCTCAACTCTTATCTTGCAGCAAACATAAAAATTAACTTAAAATGAATGTGATTATCACAAATACCTCAAACCTCAGCTGACTGCCCCATTTGAGAAAATCCTTGAAGAGATAAGATAACTAGTACACCTTACTCTCTCCTACTTACCTGAAGCTAAAGGTATCTCACCTGTGTTTTCCTCAGGAGAGGTCCCATATTATGATATTTTTTCTTTTAAAATAGTATTTGCTCAATTTAATATTTAATTTTTCTAAAAGTCTATCCTGGCTCTGTATAGTTTAGGTCACTGCATATTTTTGTTCTATATGAGAAGACTGGAACATTTTCAAATTTATATATCATAAATAACTCATAAAGTGTAGGCAAGAGCTCTGGACTAACAGTAGGAGGTCGAAGATCTAAGCCCAGGACTGTAACACACAGTGTGGCCAAATACAAGACACTTAAGACTTTCTTAGCTTCCATGTTTGTAAAATGAGGAAGTTAATCAACCCTCTTTAAAAATTTTGTGTATTGCTAAATTTTCTTTAAAGAGCATGTGTCATGCTGTTTGTAAGAAATTTGGGCAGGATAGCTTAGATTTCTTCCTTGTGTCTTGTCTGATGTTTTCATGATTGTGTGTATTTGCAAGTTAGCATCCTTGAAATATGAATTCCTCATTTAAAAGCTATTATTCTTGAGATCTCACATTAATTTTGATGAATACCTATGGAAAATATCTGTGCTGTATCTTTCAAATTTGCTAAGTGCATTTTACAACAAATATATTTCTACATTTTTGCCAAATTTCAAGTTTGATTAAATAAGAGTTTAAGTGCCGTATGTCCTAAATGTGCCAGCTGTAACTACCTCTACCATTTCCACAAAAGAAAAGGAAGATTAACCTCAGTGTCCTGCACCTTTGGCCACCATCGCACGGGATCACACAGATCGGTAGGTATAAAGTTACCGTAAGGGGGTATCACAATGTAGTGGGGAAGTGCTGGACCACAACCCAAACCCTTGAAATGTAGCCCAAACTTATCATCCTCCAAGCAGCTGATGGTGAGGGAAAATGCTAAATGGGTGTGAGCCTCTGTTTCATTATCTGCAAAATGGTGATAATAAATCCTGCCAAACACATCTGGCTGTTCGAAGGCTCAAGTGAACTAAGGTTCAAGGCAGCATGCTGGAAACTTGGGAAGGCAATGTGATGGGAGTCTGTCCTTCAGCAGGACGGAACCAAGGAGGCTGGGAGGGTGCGGGATACCATGGAAGAATCGAGGATGATTTAGAACCAGAAGCAAGACTGATGGTGCCCTCCTGTGCAGCTGTCAGAGCCATCGGCTGTCTGGTCCCTCTGTCCCCCTTGTGGGAGTGATGTGAACAGACATGACACTCTGTCCATGATCCATTTGGTGCAGATCAGAGGAAAGAAGAGGAAGCTGGGTGTCACGGTCTACGGACCCACAGACAAACAGGAGACTGGAGGGAAGCAATAGGGCAGGAAAGGAGGGATGAAAGGAACGCTGCGTTACCGCTGTGGCCAGCCGGACACCTTGCGCATGCTGTGGCTTACATGCAGGGGTGGCTTCTGGGTTCCCAGGGGGAGGAACAGAACCTTCAGCTGATGAACAGAAATGAATCATTAAAAAGGCAAACAACTAAAGGATGAGAAATCTTATTAAAGAACACACAGAAAGGCTGTATTCTTAAAAACTGACCACATCATACGAGACAAAGAAAGGGTGTGAAACGTTCCAGATTAAACGAGGCTGAAGGGACATGACAACTAAATGCAATGCCTGCCCTGAGCTGACACCTGGGCTAGAGACAGAGAGCATCTACCTGGGTCAACTGACACAACGGGCCGCGGACGGCAGATGGGAGGAAAGTACTCCATCAGTGCTGAATTTACAAAAGCTGAAAACTGTAGTGTGGTTACGCTAGCAAATACCCATATTCTTAGGAAACACTGGAATATTTACAAGTGATGGGCCATGATGCATGTAGCTTATGTCTAAATTGTTCAAGAAAGGAAGATGGCGAGGGAAGAGAGAGTGAGCGAATGGGGTAAAACGTTACAAACAAGCGCCCGTGATTAAGGGCATCTGGATATTCTTTATGCTACTCTTATTTGTGCAACTTTCTGCAAGTTTGACTTTATTTCCACATAACAAAATTGTTAAAAAGGTGAAGCAAATATTTTAATGGGGTCCTCTATTCATTAAACATTCCCGTTATTATTTTAGTTATAATAATATTTGATATCTGCATGACTCCTGACCACTTAAAAAGCACTTTAACGTTTTATTTAATTATCATCATGAAAGCCCCATTTTACAGATAAGGAAAATGAGAACCAGAGATTTCTTCTGAGACCCTGGCTAAATCATCTTTGTATTTTCACTGGCTAGCCCAGGGAACAAATGAAGGTAGGCAGGAGAAAGATTTGACCTGCCTCAAATCACAGACCTAGAGTTGCACAGGTAGGACTGAGGCTCCGAGCTCAGTACCTTTTTACTTTTTTGCAGCTATGAGATACTATAAAACACACTTAAATCGTAGGCCAGGATTAACCATTATTTAATTACTCTTTGATGATTCTCAAGTCACATAATCTTACGGTGCCTTAGGCTAACATTTATGTATGCCGTTTATCAACCTGTAGCTAAGAGAAATAACAGTTGAAAAAATGTTAATCAAATCCTACAAGAGTGAGACTACCCTTGGAGTAACCTCAATATATTGCTTTTTACCAGTGATACTATTTAATCTAATATGAAAAATTAGTTTATATAGATATTTTGCTTATACACAAAAATGAAGATGTCATCAAGATATCTATACTGCTTAATTTTGGTGGCAAATCTTATCTCTCCATGATATAAAACTTTGTTATTCTGAGAACTTCAAATTTTTCTATTTTTTTATTTTCAGATTTTTTTTCCAGCTTTATTTTCAGCATTTAAAGTGAAAATTCTAGATAGCATTACCAACAGCAGAAATGGTTTTTTGGAGCTGGTTATCAATCCTCTTTGTTTTAATTGAGGTCAAGCATTCTTTGACATTTGCTGAACCTGGTTTCTTTATAAAGTGCAGTAAGTTACACTAAACAAAAGCAACAGCAGCACTTTGGAGAACAGAAGTGTAAAGAAGGAGAATGGAATTCTAGACTGCTCGTGCCCGGAACAATGACCTGCTGAGTACACCTCTCTAGGTGGTGAAGGGACAGCCAGAATGGCAGCACCTTATGACTAGGCCCACTTTCAGGGCTCGGTCTTTAGTCAGCTTGTATTGACCTATCTTTTATTATGTGAGTAATGAAGCTAATTCTTGATACTCAAGTGTAGAGAGAGGTGCTACAGTTGGGAGATGACAAAGATGTCATCTGGGGAGGACAGCTGGCCATTTGACAAAGCCTGAGAGGTGATTAGACAAGTGATTGTTGCTTGTTAATGGGCTCCACGAGCAGTCCTTTGGGACAAAGAGACATGACTTATGACTCCTCAATCTGCATTCAGCTCTCCATTCCTTCTCTGATTTGTATCGCCCTGCTCGTCAGTACATTCAAAACCAGATGAAGTTGATTCTTAATGCTTAGATAAAAGAAAATGTTTTAAGCAATTATCCTCATATAGATTCCTATTTGCATAATTTATAGCAAGAGAATCTTCTCCTGTGAGTTATCTTCTCCCTGAGTGCTCAGTTTGGTGGATTAGAACCTCCTGCTAATGTGAGCAGACAAGCCTATAGGCTTCATTTTAGGGAGAGCAAATGTACTTAATTCTTCAGCATTTTTACTGAGCACCTACTGTGTGTCATGGATTTAAGATTCAAAAATGAATAAGGCTGACACCCTGTTTTTATAATTGGAGAAATGGATAATTAAACAGATGATTTCAAAAAAATATATGCGCAAAGACAGAATGGGGTGAGCACACGGGGTTCTATGGACCATTTTTATGATAGGCTCCTAACCTACTCTAGGATAGTCCCTTGACCCCTGTGCCAATCATGGAAGGTTCTGGGGAGTAAGATAGTTGCACAGAGCACTGAAGGATACAAAGTTTATCCAGAACAAGGGAATAGAAGGAAAGAAGGGAATTCCAGGCAGACGGACTAAAATGTACAAATGTCAGGACACAAGAGAGAATGGAATAAATTTCTGAGACTGCAAGAAGTTGGTATAGCTGGAGCTCAGGAGGAAGAGCCAGGTCATAAAGGTCCTCAAATGCCATCCCAAGAAGTTTGGATTTTAAAGAGATGGTTATAAAACAACACTGAAGGGTTTTCAAAAGACATAAAATGATTGAGTGTATAGAGAATGGATTGGCATGTGGGAGGCATGGATTCTAGCTGAGAGACTATTGAAAAAATGCAAGTGGAGAAAGCAGGATGGGCTCAACGGCCAAATCAAATCAGCAACATGGTGCACCTTCTCACAGTTGTGTTCTGTGGATCAAAGCTTTCTGAAAAAGAAGAGATAGGGTGGAGAAATTTTGAGCTGATCTGGGCCCTCTGTCCTTTTAGGAATTGTTAAATCATGCCATCTTCATTTTAAAGGAATCGTACACTCAGAATGGTGTGGTCTACATAATGTAATCTGATAGAAGCAAACTGTCACATTACTCGACACCAAGCCACTCAGTACTGACATCTGAGTATGTAAAAGGCGGATGAAACAAGGTACAGAGGTTATCAGAGTTGGCAACTTTCCCCAGTAATTGGTATTATAACCTTCATGGTCATCTTGTGAATTCTACATGGACTATCTACAAATAAATATATCCACAGGTTAGAGCTAAAAAAATTTGTCCCTTTATTAATTCTTAGTTTTAGAATCAATAAGACTGTATCCTGGTTCATTTTGAAACACCCAGTACCTCAGACAGGGATAGTGCTTAATAGGTATTTGAAAGTCAAGAATTAAAAACACACTGACTAGCCTGCATTCCCACCAACAGTGCACTAGGGTTCCCTTTTCCCCACATCCTCACCAACACTTGTTGACTTATTGAAGGCAGCCATTCTGATGGGTGTGAGGTGATATCTTACTCTGGTTTTAATTTGCATCTCTCTGATGATTAGTGATGTTGAGCATCTTTTCACATGTCTATCGGTCATCTGAATGTCCTCTGTGGAGAAGCGTCTATTCAGGTCCTTTGCCCATTTTTAAGTTGGACTGTTTTTTTGGTGTTGAGTTGTGCAGCTACTATGAAAATAGTATGGGAGTTTCTCAAAAAATTAAAAATGGAACTGCCTTATGACCCAGCCATTCCATTTCTGGGAATATATCCAAAGGATCACAAAACACTAATTCGAAAGAATGTATGCACCCCTAGGTTCATTATGTGGTTATTTACAATAGCCAAGCGATAGAAGCAACCCAAGTGCCCATCAATAGACAGGTGGATGGAAAAGTGTTTGTACATATAAACAATGGAATATTACTTGACCATAAAAACAAATGAAATCTTATCATTTGTGACAGCATGGATAGACCTAGAGGGTATTATGTTAAGTGAAAAGTCAGTCAGAGAAAGACAAATATCATGTGATTTCACTTATATGTGGAATCTAAAAAACAATATAAACGGATAAACAAAACAGAAACAGATTCATAGATACAAGGAACAGACCAATGGTTTTCAGAGGGGAGGGGTGTTAGGGGCTGAGTGAAAAGGTGAAGGGATTAAGAAGTACAAATTGGTAGTTACAAAACAGGCATGGGGATGTAAAGTACAGCATAGGAAACATAGTCAATAATATCGTAATAACTATGTATGGTGCCATTTTGGAAGTATCAGGGGGACACTTTGTAAAGTATATGATTGCCTAACCACTATGCTCTGCACCTGAAGCTAATACAAAATAATATTGAAGATAAACTGTAATTGAAAAATAAAATAAAATAAACTACACTGACCAAAATTGATTTTCTAGGACCCTTGATAATTTTCATAAAAATTCTAAGAAATTTCTTTAACATCAGAGAAATATTAATTAGAAGTAAAATAAGTACCAATATTCATTTGGGATGAATGTAGCTGCAGATATGTTTATATAATTTACCAAAAAAAAACCCCAAACACACTAAAACTCCACTGGGAATTGCGTGGGTGAAACTGAGTGAGGAATTTGTTTTTTTGTAATTGTGAGCTATTTGAAATGAGAAGGGTTGAGTAGTTAAATGGATGGGAGGAGCTGGGGGGCTTAATGGCACCCCACAATTTTCTTCTCATGGCTGTGACTACAGAAAGAACATTTCCTAATTTCTTCTAATGATCACAAAGATGATTCTAGACCAAGGACTGTGAGAGACTTTGAATGTAAGAGCTGGAAAAATCTTATATGGATATATACATCTACCCCTCAATTGTGTCCGAACTTTAAAACACCAATTGTTATATATATGTATATAATTCTAATTTATAATTACATGAACCTTTTAGTTTTAAGAAAAATAGTATTATATATTTTTTAAATGTTAGTATTCCATTTTTTTCCTGGTCGTTTTGAGTGATGCTTTTGTAACATGAAGCTTTTATTTTTGCAATAAAATTCTGCAACAAGAGGAGTGCAAATTATACATCTGCACTCTTATATAACAGTACAGTAATGAAATTATATGATGCCAACCAAATTCTCTCCTAATGCATGTTAGCATTTTCTTTGACTTTAAAAAAATTGTATCTTAGTCATGTAGACACGGAAGAATATCTTCATGGAGAGCCCTCAGTAAATATTTAATAGAAATCAATCACTACCGTGCTGCGCTTTACACCCAGAACACTTGCCGTTCAGTCCATGATTCCAGAATACCTTTTTCTTGTTATTTTTGGATGTAATTTTCTTTAGTTTTAAATTTGTTTCACTCATTTCAAGAGCTCTTTCCCATTTTTCTCTGTTGTCCATACTATACCTTTGCTTGTTTGTTTGCCTTAATTTATTTAACAAGAGTTCTAAGTCGAGAACATGGAGAACTGGGGTTTCAGTGGAGTTCCTGGGACTTCCCTTCTCCTGTTGGTGGCAGCACCGCCTTTGCTTTCTGTGTCCTGTGTCGGAGGGCTGGCGCTGAGTGATCACTACAAGCAGCATTTAGGAGCCCTCTGAGTACGGAATGCTCTGCATCGATTAGACGAACAGAAAGGAAACTATCCTGTGTAGATACAATAAAGCAACCTCATTTTAAGAAAACCAAATAAATTCACAGAAACAACTTGATTTAGGATGCTATATTTGCATTAAAAAAACCCTGCAAAATCCTTCCAATAGTGAAGGCTTTTCTATTGAATTTAAATATTGAATCTAAATATTCTATTGAATTTTTATACTGGCAGTTAGAGATTTTACTTAGGCACACCACGGCAAAGGACACCAATTTTTGTATGATAACAGAATGTTTTGCATTTGATAGGTTTTTGCAGTTCTCAGGGCCTATTGCTGTGCCTCATATCATTTGCATCTTCTACCAACTATGTGTAACATCCCAGGTAGAGGGAACATGACCTGGTATAGAACCTGTGACTTCTCAGCCATCACCACTTTCACAGAACTCCATTCCTATAAGGGTGTTCTTTGCTTTGTTTTTTTTTTTTTTTTTTTTTTTTTTTTTTTTAGTGGAGGCATGTATCTACTGCAAATAACACATAATAGTTTTGGACACCTGCCTGTATTAAAATATTATTGCATTTAGTTCAGAATATTGAGACAGATCTTTTAAACTCTTAATGGACATTCTATAACACATTTTAAAATGACCTCCCTTTTATTTGAAAATGTTTTAAGCTGATCTATTATACCCACATATGGTAAATTTAGAACAGATGCCAATCTTCTGAATAAGTTAATGAATATTTGACTGATATTTCATCCTACAACACGGAGTACTAATTTGACATTACTTCTCTCTATAATGAAAACTATTCGCTCATCAGTTTATGCCACGGTCACTGATTTATTTTGAGGAAATATTATAAGAAGGACTTTGATCCAATAGTTTAAAGAAATATGCATAATACCCAAACAAACAAGGAGAAAAATTCATGGTCAACATCATCACTTTGATTTAATAAGAGGAGAATATAATTTTATTCTGCCAAGAGCAAACAGGAGGTAGAGAAATGCAGAAGCATTGGGAGTTCAGGTGATGGGTCTCCAATATCAATCTATTAAATTGAGAAAAAAAATTAAAAACTCAAGTTAACCAGCACTTTGCACACAGCTGGTGGTCAATAGTACTTACTGGCCAGCCAGCTGACTTTGATAAGGTATTGATTTGGCTGGTTCATTCCTTATCTGTTTTCCTGTTTACAGCTGGGTGGGTCCATCTCTTAACATCTAGCTTCCCCCTTCAGGCTGGGCTTTTCACTTGAAAATAAACTTCTAGCTGTTCTTTTGTTTTGTTTTTTGAAATGTTCTTAAAATGGCTTTATTTTTATTAATTATTTTTTACACAAATTATCATTTTAATTACAGATCTAGAGCAGCAGACATGGCAAGTTGTGACCAGATTTCCTGTTAAGAAAGTGGTGGCTGCTGGGGGAGTGAGAGGAGTATCGGCCGCAGCCACAGAGCAGAGCAAGACTGGCCAGCCACCTCCC